CCGCTGGAGAGTGTGGGGGTAAGGCCGGGTCAAAGGACACTGCCCAGTTCACAGTCGGAAATCAGAGCAGGCGTGGCAATCCGAGCTCGAAGGCCGTGGCCGCCCAGTGGCCTTGACCGGCTGCTGAGCCCGTCTGGTGGGAAACGCATGGTCAGGGGGACGGCTGAGCCTCCCGACCCCGTGGAGCCGGCCGGGTCAGAGGTCCCCACGGCACCTTCTTCCAGGTTTGCTGCTTGGATTGAAATCCGAGGGGCGTAGCCTCCCGTGAAGTAGGAAATGTCCACGTCCAGGCCCCGGATCAGGCCCTGGACCCCGAGCCTGACGATGCACCAGTCGTGACCTGCGGGACGCACAGGACAGAGCAGCCGTCACGTCCACGTCGGCAGGGGAGGCAGGTGACCGAAGGAAACTAAAACGCCAATGACTGCCCCAGCCGGTGTGTCTCATGGTTGAACAGGGTTCGATTCCCGGTCAGGGCACAGGCCCGGGTTGTGGGCTCGATCCCAGGTAGGGGGTGTGCAGGAGGCAGCCGATCCATGACTCTCTCTCTCTCCCTCTCTCCATTCCTCTCTCTAAAGTCAATGAAACAACAAGCCTAGCTGGTTTGGCTCAGTGGATAGAGCGTCGGCTCTCTGAAGAGTCCCGGGTTCGAGTCCAATCAAGGGCATGTACCGCGGTTGCAGGCTCAGTCCCGGCCCTGGTCAGGGCTTGTGTAGGAGGCACATCGCTGTCTCTCTGTCTCTCCCCCTCCCTTCCGCTCTCTCTGAAAATCAATGGAAAATCACCCCCAGGTGCAGATCAACAAAAACAAACACACAACAAAAATCAGACCCAGCGTGTGCCCGGCTCCCCCACAGCCGTGCGCAACCTCTGGGTGTTGGCGGGAGACAACGCGTGGTCCCCATGCGGCCTTCCCCTCCCTGGGAGAGCCCGCTCACCCGGAGTCCTCCTGCGCCTGGTCTCCCATCCGTCCATCCATCTGCCAAACTCAGTGTGTTTATGCTCTTCAAACCGCGGGCTGTCACTCTAAGCCAAGAGGTCCGACGGGTCAGTAACCAACATCCGTGCTTTGTTTTAAAGAAACATGTCCTACCCTCTGCTTATTAGGCAGGTAAACATTTTCCCAAAAATGCAAGATGTGTTCCACTTTTCTCCCCAGCGCGGATGCCGACCTCCCTGTGCGAGGGGCAATGTGTGAGCAACTCGGTAACTTCCCCTCACGCCATGCGGCCCGAAGCTCCGGTCGCATCCGAGTCTGCACTGACTTCTACACGCGTGTGCTGTCCTCATGCCAGCTCCCGGCAGGTGGCCCGTGACCCCGTCCCTGCCCGAGAGGGTGTGGGTTCCCGTGGACCCACAGCCCACTGCCCGTCAGTACCGCCGCTCCCGGGCACCATACCTTTATCAGGTTTTCTGCAGGAGCAAAAAAGTCATCTGTTGCAAACAAAATCTAGGCAAATAAAGAAAGAAGATAAAAGAACCGTAAATTAAAAACCACTTCATTCCACACCCTGTGAAGCTCTATGAGCCGCAGTAAAAGGAACGCGTGAAAGGGCCCTGGGGAAGAGAAATGACGCGCCATCGAGCCTCGGCGCTTGGGACGTGTCTCGATTTCACCCCTGCCGCCCCCTCCGTCTCCCCCCCGCTTTTCTGGTCCCCTTCACCATCTGGACACCAGGGCACTAACTTCCCACAAAATAGGCAGCTGCCCGGCCGGCGTGGCTCAGGGGTTGAGCATCGACCCATGAACCCAGAGGTCAGGGTTGGATTCCCGGTCAGGGCACAGGCCCGGGTTGCGGGCTCGATCCCCAGAGGGGTGTGCAGGAGGCAGCCGTCAGTGACTCCCTCTCATCACGCCAAAGCAGGGCATTTTGAGGGGGTGGGGGTGGGGGGCAGAGGGGGTGCTTTAACTTACACTAAGAAAGCGCCCTGCGCGCTCCTGAGACCTCAGCGAGTCCGCCCATCGCTGGACCTTCCTGCCTTGGCCACGGGGACCCCAGGCCTCCAGGGCTCCCACACGGAGGCCCCTGCCCTGGGCTGCACGCACCGCATGGGACAGTGCGTTCTCTTCAAGGTGTAAGATGGCCTTTGTCAAACATCAGGCAAGGCCGCCCCTGGCGTTTCCTTCCACGGGGCCTTGGGGCGGGGGCGGATGGGGGTGCCCTCGGGAGGGGCCCTGCAGCTTGAACTAGTTTCTCCCAGTGGGTGGTTCCCACACGGCCTCGTGGCGACCGACCAACCCTTCTTCCCGAGAGACACCTGCTCACCTTGCCTCCCACGGACTCGGACGCCATGTCGATCAGCTGGACGAAGTCCGGAGACCGGGCCAGCTTCCCCTCCCTGGGAGAGTCCACCATGCTTCCTGAGGGTCAGGGGGGCGGGGGAGGGGGGCTCGGTCAGCGCGGCTGTGTGGGCTCCGGCCGGGTCAGAAGGGTTCAAAAAACACGCATGCTGTCGGGTGGACGGGCACTGCCTCCGCCCAGTGACCCTCCAGGTGAATTAAAGGCGACTTCAGCCCAGAAGGCACCGCTCAGTGAACCAGGAGGTCACGGCTCGATTCCCGGTCAGGGCACAGGCCCAGGGTGTGGGCTCCATCCCAGTGTGGGGCGGGCGTGCAGGAGGCAGCTGTCCGTGACTCTGACATCATGGACGTTTCTCTCCCTCTCCCTCTCCCCTCCCTCTGACATCAGTAAAAATGGAGGTTAAAAACATTAAGTGAGTAAACCAGCAGCGCATCCTCACCAGCAGCCGGGAGCCCAGGCTCTAGGGTCGGATTCCGTGCTCTGCAGACGCCAGCCAAGGTCTCATGGCGCTCACTCGGGGCAGCAGGAGAGAACTGCAGGCCTGGCAGCCTGGGGGCCTGGCTGGGCCGCTGATGTCACAAGGGCTGGGGAGGGGCAGCCCCCCCTGGAGAGGCCCCCCCCCGGCCCCCTGCAGTCCCTGTGGAGGGAGTGGCTGGCCCGTCCCTGTCACAAACATGACCGGGGGCCGCGGGCACCAGGCCCTGATGGCGGCCCCTCCCCGGCTGCGCTGGGCCCCGGCCCGGGGCGTCCCGTCCCTCGGAGGGAGCCCGGCGTCCGGACGGCTCACCTGCCACAGGAGACGGCTCCGCGGGGCAGTGAGCGCCGCCTCCTTCGGCTCACGGCACACATTAAGGTGGAAAAGCCTGCGGCCAATCTGAGCAGAAAATGGCTCCAATTTTGACTGATTCACAAAAACATATGATAATTACCTGCCCTCTCTGCTCCAGATGCCTGTACTTGGACACAGGGATTGCTGGTCCCAAGAACTAACCAATCAGATGCAGCCTTATTATGCAATGTGACCAATGAGATGCGAGTCTATCAGAACCACGTGCGGATGGATGGTTCCAGTCAGAGCATCCGTGTCTGACGGCTGGTTTGCGTTGGCTGTTGTCATTTTTATTTTTTATTTCAGAGAGGAAGGGAGAAACATCAGTGATGAGAGAGGGTCACGGACCGGCTGCCTCCTGCCCGCCCCCCACTGGGGATGGAGCCCTCAACCCGGGCCTGTGCCCTGACCTGGAATTGAACCCTGACCTCCTGGTTCATAGGTCGAGGCTCAACCACGGAGCCACGCCGGCCGGCCCCTTTCTGCTGGATTTGGAGTCTCCTGTCTGCAGCTAAGAAACGCCCCAGCCCTTGGCTCCCATCTGCTGACCTGAATTGGGTCACACCTGGTGGCCCTCACCTGCCACCCTCCCCCCAGGAAGCATGGTGGGTGCGTGTCCTAGACAGTCACGGAGGGGGCAGCTGGGAGAGCCATGTCTGAGTCCCGGTGCAGCAGGGACCAGACGCTAGAGAGCCACACGGCACCCACCGGCCAGAGCCGCCCTCACCTCCCGTCACCTGCCCTCACCTCCCATCACCTGCCCTCACCTGTGCTCACCTCCTGTCACCTCCCATCACCTGCCCTCACCTCCCATCACCTGCCCTCACCTATGCTCACCTCCTGTCACCTCCCATCACCTGCCCTCACCTGCACCGTGACAGAGCCGTGCTAGGGCAGCAGGGCATCGGGACCCAAACGCAGGACCACGCCTAGAGCTCATCTTCCCACAACAGTCCTTTTCCTGCCGCTGCCCCCTGGGGACACGCTGTTCTGAGGCTGAGATCACGGGACCGAGCCCAGGATGCTCTGAACGGGGGACCCCTCCCCTGCCTGCCCTGGTTCTCCCTGCACCTCCCTCCTCTCTCT